GGGCGGCGGCCTTTCGTTGTCGTCTGACTCGCTCTTGGCCTATTCCCCCCCCTCCCCCCCCCCTTTCCTGCTAATCTGAAAAGTCAGACTGGTAACAAGGAAACAGAAATGCCCAAACCCACGTTTTTGTGCCATTGTGAAAAGTTAACTCAAGAATTACAGAAAAAAAAAAGTTTTGATCAAGCAGTGCCGCTACGAGAAGCCCTGTGGCACCTTATAGACAACAGATAAGGTGTCACCGGACTCCTCGTCGCTTTTGCAGATTCAGACTAACATGGCTACCCCTCAGATATCTATACCTATGTACATCAATTAATCCTGCCAGGCATGGCTGTCCCTAGGTAGCTATAGACTGCCCCTTCAGTGCCTCCCGACAGGGGGAGGGACACTCCCGTGAAGGGACACCACAGGCACATGTGCACAGCACCCTGCTGGTTGGAACGTTCCTGAGGGTGCTCACAACTCCATGCACGGGCCAGGGCCAGGCCCAGAAGGGACATGTGTTACTGCTGCTGCAGGCCCAGACAGAGCCCAGCAGCCTGACCTAGATGCTTGGCGCAGCCACTGTTTCTGCTTTGCCCTTTGCTTGGGATTTGTTCATTACCCTCCGCAGCGTGTGACTGGCTCCTAAGTGCACCAGCTGCTCTGAACAACTGCCCTGTGCTGCACCAGCACAGATTTGGCTTTCAAGCCCAATGGCTGTTCATCACCCAAAGAATGCCTGTTGCATTGTCATGCTGTCAAGAGGCTAGGGCCTGACCCTGTCATCTCATCTGTTTACACTTGGTCAGGGACAGCTTCAATTGCAAGACTGAAGACTCCATCTTCAGTCTGGATTATGCTGTGAATCCTATGAAAAAATTGGAATAATGTCTGTCTATAGGCTGCCTGCTTGGACTGTAACCTAGGGAATTGATTCTGGACAGAACTTTTTGCAACTCAGCAGCTCTCTAGCTCTTCATTTCTATACGTGTAATGGTCTTTATCTACAACACTCTGTGTGTTCTTAATCTGAGTTAAGTGAATAAGATTTGGATGTAAGTGTGTATGTGGGGGAGATCTGAGATATTCACTGACCTGGTGGGTAACACGTCTGGCCCAGAGCTGGATAGCTTTAAGGGAGCTGTGCTTTGCCTCTCTGTAACCAGTAGGCTGTGTCTAGACTGGCAAGTTTTTCCGCAAAATCATCTGCTTTTGCGGAAAAACTTGCCAGCTGTCTACACTGGCCGCTTGAATTTCCGGAAAAGCACTGACGATCTCATGTAAGATCGTCAGTGCTTTTACGGAAATACTATGCTGCTCCCGTTCGGGCAAAAGTCTTTTTCCGAAAGACTTTTGTGCAAAAAGGCCCGTGTAGACAGCACAGTACTGTTTTCCGCAAAAAAGCCCCGATCGCGAAAATGGCAATTGGGGCTTTTTTGCGGAAAAGCGCGTCTAGATTGGGCACGGACGCTTTTCCGCAAAAAGTACTTTTGCGGAAAAGCATCCTGCCAATCTAGATGCGCTTTTCCGAAAATGCTTTTAACGGAAAACTTTTCTGTTAAAAGCATTTTCGGAAAATCATGCCAGTGTAGACGTAGCCATAGGGTATTGAAGAAGCTGCTTTGTTGCTGGCTTGGTGAATCGAATTATTTGAATAAGAACCAGTCTGCCCCATTCTTTCATACTTTGCCTTCCTTTACCTGATGTGCAGAGAGGAGACTTCAGCAACTTGCCTAGAGCGGAGGAAAATCCTCCCCTTCCATGCAGTCGCTATGAGTACATCTACACTGCATTCCTCTTTCGAGAGAGGAATGCAAATGCAGGTGAGCAAAATTGCAAATGAAGCGCAGATTTGAATTTCCCGTGCTTCATTTGCATAATCGTGGCCAGCTGCTTTTTCAAAATAGAATCATAGAACCATAGAGCTGAAAGAGACTTCAGAAGGTCATCAAGTCCAGCCCCCTTCCCTAGGCAGGACCAATCCCAACTAAATCAACCCAGCTGAGACAAACACCTCTAGGGATGGAGACTCCACTACTTTCCTAGGTAACCCATTCCAGTGCTTCACTACCCTCCTAGTGAA